TAATGGAAAAATACACATACGTACATAGATTTATATTCATATTAAAATAAAGGTCCGCTTTCAAGTGGACCTGCAGTCAGTCAGGTAAACACTCATTTAAATTACATACTGTATGTGGGAGCTCTTTTAGGAAGTGTATCTCTGATCATCCAGTCCTGAGATTTATATAGCTCTGCCACACAGTACACAGCCAGCTTGGTGACCTGACTGACACCTGTCTGCTGCAGGTAAGCAGTGTGGCCTGGTCACGTCCCCAACACCCAGCCAGTAATTGCACATGGGAGGGAGCTGCAGCAGGCTGATGAGCACATTCCTCTTCTCTCTCCTCCAGTCCGTATGTTTCTTAGCAGCACCAGGTTCCCGGTGCCACCCCTCCCTCTCCCAGTCTGAGCTGTGCAGTACAAGGGATGGCAGAAGCTAATCTCAGATCAGAGTACTTACACTAGTATTTAAAATACATTTAATAAACCATGCATACGCCATAAGACGCGCCCATTCGACACAATGTGCGCCCATTGTGCCTGCTCAGAATGAATGGGATTTAGGTGTTTAATGACAGCAAAATCACCTTTCAGAGCTAATAGTGACAGACTAGAGGAGTGGCCCCCCCTCTGTGTCATTCGAACTATTGTTGTTCATAAGAAGCCAAGCAAAAGCTTTCCAGTTTGGATATTAATCTCCTGTGTAAGAGAACATATCTCAACCATAATTACAGTATCACGTAAAAAGGCTGAAGCCTAATCATGCAAAAATGGCGCCATCTGCCATGTCAGAGAGGTTGCTGAGTAACTGGCCCTCCAGCGGTTGAGGAGCTTAAGATTACGAGATGTTAGTGTGCTTCCTGACAAACAACTGAGGGCATGGTCAACAACTGGGCTTGATCAATCAAGTGGGTGTCGCGTTGCGGCATATGGCTTGAAGTGTGGCACCCTTTGCTTTGCTATGTTTTAGACAAAATGTGGCTTGGGGGTACAATGAAGAGAAAGAGGGAGTAAAATCCACATTGTTGGTGTCAGGGGCCACAATAACAACCATTAGCATTAGTGTCAGTGATATTAAAGGCTCCCTTTCATTTGGAGGCCAGTGCCCAGTACTATTATATAACCCCCCTTTTGTCAGTGGCAAGTGGCTGTACTATTATATACCCCTTCATTAGTGGTCAGTGGGTGTACTATTTATTTGCCCCTCTTTCATTAGTAGTCAATGGTAGTACTGTTATATACTGTACCTCCCTTTCATTGCATGTCAGTGGCAATGCTTTTATATCCCTCTTTTATTGCTGGTCAGTTGCTGTACTATTGTATATCCCTTCATTGGTGGCCAGTGGCTGTACTATTATACACCCCCTTCATTGGTGGCCAGTGGATTTATTATTATATGCTCCTTTTCATTGGTGGTCAGTTACTGTACTATTATATGCCACCCTTCCATTGGTGGTCAGTGGCTGTATTATTAAATATCCCCTTACATTGGTGATCAGTGGTTGTACTATTATATGACCCCCTTACATTGGAGGTCAGTTGCTGTGCTACTATATGCCTCTCTTTCATTGCTGGTCACTGGCTGTACTTTTATTTCCCCCCCTTTCATTGGTGGTCAGTGGATGTACTATTATATGCCCTCTGCATTTGTAGTCAGCGACTTTATTAGTAGATAACAGTAAACCCCTGTGGTGTTCAGTGTATTTACTCACCTGAGGACCAGCTCCCACACTGCTGCCTGTTTCTCTCCCTGATGACGTTGAGCCAAGACTATACTCGTACTGTCAGATGGCGATCACTCCGCCTGACACTATTGGCCTTATTTCAGTGCTGGGTGCTGCAAGACCGAGAGCATCCCAACTGCCTCCCTGTATTGTTGCCAAGTGTCCTAGATCCTGTTCACAATCCTAGGACTGTCCTGCAGGATCCAGGACACTTGGCAACTACACCTTCCGGGTAGCAGCAGTCATAATGTCATTGCTTCAAACTGCCCCTTATTCCTCCTCAAATGTTCCTCCATTATCTCTAATGACGAGATCTGTATCAGTAAATAAATGTACTTTGTATCTGGAATCATTATTTATATTGCACTAAACTTTTCATTTGTAACTAATGTGAAGGGACAGTAGCAAAAATCCAAAAAGTGAGTTTTAGTGATTATTTTTGCTTTTTAATTCCTCGTGGTCCCTCTTAGAAGGTTGGGAACTGTGATAAGTGGACTTGTAGTTGTCTTCCAGCTAGAGGCCTATAGCTTGCCAAACCATGCGAATGTAATGCAGGCCTTTGGAGTCTTGCATGCAGTAACAGGGTAGTATCCAGGCACTCTTGTAAGTTCTTGCAAGCATTTCATCTATATATCTTCATTGGATCTAGCTATCTCCCCAGTTCTGTCTTGTTTCCAGCCCATCACTATACAATTACTCATCAGGTAATCAATATTGGTTCTAATGTTGTCCTGTGTTTTTCCTCACAGGGGGCGTTCTGGGGGCTAATGGTCGGCCTGATGGTGGGCCTTGCTCGGATGATAATGGAGTTTGTCTACCCCATTCCTCGTTGTGGTGTTCTTGACGAGCGACCGTCTGTACTGAAGGATGTTCACTACCTTCATTTCGCTATCGTCCTGTGCGCACTTACCACAGGGATAGTAGTGGGGGTCAGCCTCCTCACAGAGCCTCCTCTGCCTTCACAGGTGAGTCCACCGACATCTGGATGACTGGAGAAGGAACCTGTCATGAGGGAAATATGGAGTTGGCCATCGTTGGCCTCCTCTTGAAAATGTTAGTTGCTTGGCTGTCTTTGGTTTCAGTGTTTCTAAGTCTCTGACCTACAACCAGTATGCAGCAAGTGAAATCGGAACGCCTGATTTTCAGACTTGTTCAATGTGTCTCAGAAAGTTCTTAAGCCGCGGGATTGACATGGCAGCAAGGTATCTGATTCTATAAAGACCAGCTCCATTGCCAGCATTGCCTTCTTCCTGCAATCACACTGTGGGATATTATAAGGTTATTCCTTTCAAATGCTAAAACCATTACAAAGGATTCCATGATGAATTCTCTATAATGCTGAACAAACATAAACTACAGGGTATGGCTTCACGGTGGTGGCCTTCATTATGGCCTTGTGGAGAAGGCAGGAACATAGATTTTGGTAGTGGATAGGTGGTGTGGGGAAATCCCATTAAGAATTACAAGGAGCTGCCAGTGATTTGGCAATTCCAGTGGAGTTGTACAACTTGTCCTAAATGGCCTGCCCACCCCACCCACCTTTTTCCCCGGCCCTGATCATCCATAAATGATTATCCAGGGTATGGGAAAAGCCCCCTTCCGGGCACACTAAAGCCAAGAGTCACATTCTACAATGACCTGTGATAGCACATTTCAGCTGATTCTCAACCATTTCCTCTGACTGGAGAGCTAGTAAGGCCGGGCTTGACCTTATTGATATTGGAGAACAGCAAGGGCCAGCATTAAAACACAACTGTGTCCTTAAAGTCATGCCTACTTGAGTGCAACCCACCTAGTCCAAGAATTAGCTCTGTCCCCATTCCAGTTCTCTTCTCTGTTCAGCCGTGGCCAGAGGAGCACAGCCTTATATTCAAAAGCATGCCCGCTGGGTCCTCTTTGTCCTGCAAATGTGCACCACGGCCCCATTCCTTGCTTTGGGGAAATTTGCCATGAGTACGGATCCTCATAGAGTTGCACAGTGAGAATCGTTGGATCGGGGACAGAAGTAAATATTGGACCATGTGGCCTCCACTCAGGGGGGTTGGGGGCATGCCTTAAAGGATAATGTACAGTTGTCCTGTAATGCTGGTACATGTAGTTCCCCAGGTCAGTAACTGCCAAGTCCGGCCTTTTTAGCTCTCCAGTCAGAGGAAATGGTTGGGGATCAGCTGAGCAATTCGCAGGTCATTGTGGAATGTGACTCTTAGCTTTACTGTGCCTGGAAGCGGGCTCTTCCCACACTCTGGATAATAATATATGAATCACCAGAGCTGGGAAATAGAATATTTCTTTGTCTTTGGAGGATGATTTTGCTATCTTGAGTCATACAAAAGGTCTTCTGGTGATTTGGAAGGATTTCAGTCTGTTATTAGGATGCAACAAAGGCCTTTGTACCTATGAAACACGGTAGAAAAAGATAAATTGAGTCACTGTGAGCCAAGATGCTGGAGAAGGTAACAGCTGACACTGCAGGTTTCATGTGCTGTGTTGTAGGGAAGCTGTGCCTTGTCCACACAGGCCAATGCAACAGGTACACTTGAATGGACGCCTACACAGACGCATATACTTACCTTTCTTTGGTTCCCCCACCAATCCATTGGTCCGGAAAGCTCAGTGTTAGCTGTCAGTCGCTGGAAACTTAGCTTACATAGGTCTATGGGCTCCTCATGTGACAACAGTGATTGACCTACTGCTGTCACATGGAGTAAGCTACATGCTCCTCCATACCCCATACAAGGAACCTTCACCTGCCAGAAAGATATTTCCTATTACATAGCAAATCTTCACTTTTTGAGTATATGTCCACTGTAATCAAGTCATAATTAAGGGTTGTGAACATGGAAGTGATCACAACTTATAACTTATAGACTCATCTTCTCTTCTGCATGCATCCCCTGTGATTATTTAGTCTTGGAGCCCTTTATATAACACAGCTTTAAGCTTAAAATTACATTAAAGCAGATTCCCCCCCCCCTCCCCCAATGTTAATGAAAGCACTTACCTTAAATGAGGTTTTTTAATCTGATCTTCTTCTTCTTTCCTGTCATTTTCATCTGTCGATCCAGCGCTGACTCCTCTGAGCTTGCTGGCACTTCCTGTCCCACGGTGTCTGCATGCGGGTGCACGTGTCCATATACTTACCTTGTGTCTCTCCTCGCGTCCCGGCCGAAAATGTGAACTGCGCATGCGATCGCCCCAAGATGCTTTGCGGCCACCCGAGGATCTTCACATTTTCGGACGGAGGCGCGCAGGGAAGACACAGGTGAGTATTAACCTCTGTTAAAGCGTTTTTGGTTTTTTTAACACTTTTTGCATATATCTACTGCTTGCTAGCTTTAATTATCAGTGACTCATTACTTTAGCCCATTAATGGGGTGAAGATTACTGTATGACAGTGCACAGCATCAAAGTTGTATAGTGGGGCTTATAGTCACGTATGTCGTAAGTAACTCTGTTTTTGGACAGGTGAAAAATCTCACTTGGTGGACTATACCACGAGGAAGGAACCCGTCACCCGAAATCACGCTCAGGAAAGTGTCTACTCGGAGCCACTCCGGTCCCGGAGACAGTCAAGGCAAGTCTTCTCTTCTTCATTTCAAAGGAAATTATTGCTTTGCAAAGTTATTGTTCACTTATCTTAGTGAATTAAGTGAAACAAAGTGAAAATTCACGCTGCAAAAAATACCCAATCATGCCAAGAAAATGTTGCAAATCTGGATTTTTGTTTGCATATGAAAGGATGATTGAAGTCGGCACAACTTCTCCTCATTCACTGAGCTAAGTGCATTCTGCCCTTCTTTTTGCAAGTTTGCGCTTAGCTTAGTGAATGGGGTGAAGTTGTGCCGACTTCAGTTACAGACTGCCTCTTTACTAAGTTGTGCAAGGAGCAAAGTGACAAAAGCAGAACATTAGAAGTCCAGATTTCAATTTATTCAGAATCTTGTATCATAAAATGCCAATGTGTTTCAGGGGTTCAAGTCAGGACACTATCTGCAAGGAGTTTGCATGTTCTCCCTGTGCGGGTGGGTTTCCTCCGGGTACTCCGGTTTCCTCCCACACTCCAAAGACATGCTAGAAGGTTAATTGGCTCCTCTCTAAATCAGCCCTGTATGCATAAGAGATAGGGACCTTAGATTCTCAAACGTCCACACAGGGTTTCCCTTGCAGGGGTTTTCAAACATAAAGTACAGCTTTTCCCTCTCAGCAAAATTAACATTTTTCAAAGTCTCACCGACTTCAGGTTGTTTCTTTTATCAAAAGCCTTTCCCACACAGGCTGTATCCAAACCACTTGCCACACAGGCTGTATCCAAACCACTTGCCACACAGGCTGTTTCTTATCCCCTTGCCACACAGGCTAGTCTTTTGCCACATAGGCTGCTTTTCACCACACAGGTGATCTGCTCCCTAGTCCGCCAGCCATACAGACTGGTTCCAGGGAGGGGCTTCTTTCTTAGGAGGCTGGGATATCTTGGAGGCCCTAACAAGCCAGCTAGCTTCATCTGGGCTTGTTACCTCCAAGCCTCCAGCCCTCTCAGCACTTCCCCATAGAGTAAGAACCTCAGCACTATACCTGAAACTGGGCCATACAAATCTGCCATCCTGGCTATACCCAGACATCCCTATTTGCCTGATGCCACACTAGCCAAAACCTTTTTAGCTTGGATAGTAAGACTAAAACCCCTGTTGGAATTCTACCACTATCTGGGGCTCCGTTGGAGAGGTTTCCCCTCACTTCCTGGTGAAACAACAGTTTCACCAGACAGGAAGTAAGGGAAAATCTGCAACCACAATCTTAGAAATATTTATTTTTAGTAGAGTAGAGGAAGGCTTGGACTCAGATTGAAGTGCCACACAACATAAAATAGTCAATAGTCCAGATAAAACTTTATTCCATTAGGGGACAGTCTAGTAGAGTATACAACGCGTTTCCGGGGTGCAATACACACCCATCAGGGCTTACTAAGAGAAATCAGGCATGTGGACTACAATCCCTGCAGTTTGATAGTTGTGTTGGGAGGACTTCAGGCTTGTCAGCAGCTAGTTAGGTAGCAACCAATAGATTTGATACTTTTGTCCCTGTTGCAAATGTTTCCTCCCTTCCTGTCTGACTAAACCATTGTTAGCAGGACAGTTAATAAGAGGAAATCTCTCTAATGGAGTCCCAGATATCATTAAAAAATATGAATGAAGTTCTAATCCTTCTCGTCCATCAAAAATAAAATGTTTTGGCTGTAGATACACATCAAAGTTGGAAACCGTAACACTACCAAATGACCTTATACCCTACGCTATAAATAACCTGCAAATGCTTTTCAGTGTTTTCGTCTTCAGACGTCTATTTCAGGTAGAGTTTATTTCTGATCTGTGATACGATTCAGTACTGTGCTCTCCACATAGGGATCTCTAGCATTCAGAGAGCAGCTTTGTATCACATCCCAGGACACCACTAATCAAAAGCACGGTAGGAATATACATTAGTAGTAAAAAAGCAGCAGGGGAATGCTCATTACACAAATGTAGACTGGGAGCCAGACAATGGCTGACCTCAAAATATACACTCTGGCTAATTATTGCTGAGGGAGAATTGGAGTAATAATTAATATGTAAGAAAACTGAAGTTAAAGTAGAAAAAAAAGTAAAATAACTAAAGCCAATCATTTTTTTTAAGGGAGGGTTATAACCCTTGTCAGCTAGAAACGCGACGCGCACAACTCAAACCTATCATGCGTCCTTGTAATTCACATTCGGTGCACGGATGACTCTTTTGAGTGATCGGCTCAAAAACTGTGGAACTAGCACACGATGATCTTCCAAAGAAAATCAAACTTTATTCCACTTGCATCTATACAAAGAACAACAGCTGACACGTTTCTGCCTTGCTCGGCCTAAGTCATAGCTATGACTAGGGCCGGGTAAGACAGAAATGTGTCAGCGGTTGTTCTTTGTATGGATGCAAGTAGAATAAAGTTTGAATAACCGCTGTCAGCTTTTTTTTGCTATCTGTGTCCCATTGGAGAGATTTCCTGTCACTTCCTGCCAGCTAAGTGGCCTCATACCAAGGAGGAAATCCCTGGTAGTCAGCAGTGTCACCAGAACTAGGGTCCCCATTGGAAGATTTACCATCTATTCTTGTTTTGGTGACATCCCAAAATGAGGGATTTTCTTTTACTTTCAGTTCCCAGGACAAATAAAGTGAGTGAATAAATAAAAAAAATATAGAAAAATAAGAAAAATAAAATAAAGAGCCCTTTTACACGGGCTTTCCGATCAGGCCCACCTGAAAAACTGACTGGGAGATCAGCTTCCGCAATGTCAGTCTATGGGCAGCCTGATCTAAACGGGCGGGCATCCGTTTACATTCGGTTACCCCATGCTCTGGCCAGGTCCAGAAAAACAAATGGATCAGAGTTCCCTTTTGCCGGACCTAAGTCCATCTACCCCCGATTTCCCATAAACCAACATGGAGTCTGGTAATTTCATTTTTTTCCTCCATTGCAAGATGGAGGAAAAAACTGGACGGACACGGATATCACAATAGTGACGTCTGTTCTGATCAGCAGGAGATCTGTGCATAGATCCCATGCTGATCAGATCCTGTGAAAGGGGCCTAACGGGGACACAGACAGCAACAAAAACCAGACAGGTGTTCTAATCCCTCTTCACTCTATCCAAAACTGAAAACAAGATTTGGCTTCAGTTTCACTTTAATTTTCTTTGTAAAAATGCATAGATAGAGAAAAAATCAACTTGTTTAAGATTTCATAGTGTGCCTGCGCACCTGACCATCCTCTGAATTATATGGTGTGGTATTGTGTGGCAATTCCACAGTAGAACTGGGGGTTGTAGTCACCCAGGACTCTCGGCCAGAGGGGCTGAGAGGTTCCGGGATGCAAGTTCTTGTACAGGGAAAGAGTAGGGTTGCCACCCATTCTTCAAGTGAAACCCGAACACTCTATCGACATGCAGACATTTTTTGGGTAGAATGAGTCGCGGTTTATTCATAAGTAAATAGCGCCGCCCATTCATAAGTAAATATCACAGTTGAGACTATTTTCAATGGGGGCCAGTAGCCCATATCTTAATTTTGGTTGCCCCTGTCTGCCTGACACCTTGTGTCCGGGTTTCTGCTGCCATGAAACCCAGACACAGCATTCAAAACCCGGACTGTCCGGGTGAATCCTGGACAGGTGGCAACCCTAAGAAAGAGCCGACTTTGCAGTTCTTCCCAGTTTTCCTGGATTTGTCATGGGATCCTGGAACTGGGAGATTTCTAAGAGAATTGGGAGGGATGAGACCTCTAGTCCTGGGTCCATCGTTTAGCAGTCAGTGGCCAGCACCGAATGATTGCACACCTGTGCACAGCCCTTATGGAAAGGGTGCTGGCTAATGTTCGGGGGGCTTCAGCTGGGAAGAGGAACTGTGTTCAGGAGTCAGGAGGATCCACCCAGAAGTCAGAGGGGAGCCAGATGGCTGTGTGTGCTGGAGGCACAGGGAAGACAGCAGGGGAGGCTCAGAGAGCCAGTAACACACAAGGGATGTGTGTAAGAGTCACACAAGAGGTGTGAAAGCTATGGAGCATGTGCGACAACCTGGAATCGGTGAGCTTATGTGATCCGTTCTGTTTGCTGGAATACAAGCGGACCTTGTGTTATTGTTGAAGCTTTGTTTCCTGTTAGGCCTCGTTCACACCAGATGCAGTGCGTTCCGGGCCGATTCTGGCCAGAACGCACTGCCTCGAATTGCAGCCTGCTCACTTTTTTGTGGGGCAGGAGGGGGCTGCAAGCACTATTTTGTTCGCACCGGACCGCAGGCATTTTATGCCTTGCGATCCCGTGCAGCCGATTGCATCATGGCCGGAGGGCGTGACTACGGTGTCATTCACTTCAATGGACCGCCACGTCCCCTCCTGCCCCACAAAAAAGTGAGCAGGCTGCAATTCGAGGCAGTGCGTTCTGGCCAGAATCGGCCCGGAACGCACTGCATCTGGTGTGAACAAGGCTACAAGACTGTTCCTTAAGCGCTCACCATTTGTGCTAAATTCCCCAAATATCACAATGGGCACCCTAAGAGGCCTTAAAGGTCTAATATTGTAACTTGTATCAGTTTGTCGCTATTTGAAATATATTTTAAGAAACGTGTTTTCTCTACTTCCAGTTCCGGCCAACTGTTCCACCCGCAGCAGGTCCTGGAGCAGCGCCCTCTGCAGCCCCCCCAAAGGAGAATCTCCCAGCCCAGTCCAGCAAAGAAGCATCAAGGAGGACCCATTCTGGGCGCGGGTGTGCTGCATTAATGCCATCGTTCTGATGTGTGTCAACATTTTCTTCTATGCCTATTTTGCATAACATCAGGAGAATGACTCCAGCTCAGATTTACATGACATCGCAGCAAAGGAGTCAAGGGAAAAAAAATTGCGCTGACCCGTACTGTCTACGTTTACAATTTCACTCCTAAGGCCTTTTCGAGACCTACATACAGGAAAAAGGTCTTGGCACATTTCCGCAGTTCGACTCTGGGCCAATCCAGGATATTCTAATTCCCTTTACTTGTCTGCTGACTCATTAGCCAGAACACGGACCAAAACCATAAGTCAACACTTCTAATGCTCCAGTAAAATAGTTTTGGCAAAGGAAACCAAACCTCATATGACAAATGAATACGTGCCAAAACAAAATGGCCGACCACCAGGCCCAAACAGGTAGGAAGGTGACGTTCCTGAGAATGTGTGAAGTCATAAAGTTCCATTTATGAGTAAAATGTGTTATTAGATTAGCCGCCTTCTCCTCTATAAAGGGGCTTTTAAAAGCATTTTATAGAGAGGTGACGCTCAGGAAGTTGTTGGGAGTCAAACATTTCTTAATATTACTGAGTCATTTGGGCAAATTATTTTATTAAAGCTGAACAGCAGTCCGTTATAATAGACATAAATTAATGGCTCTCTCTACTCACTCTTACATCATTAAATGTATTTTTTTTTAAGTCAAGCAGTGTCAGTGCTTACATTTTACAACAGGTAAAAGTCTCTTACAACCCTCTATTCAGCAGAACTCAGATTGGGGGAGGGAGGGGCAGGACCGAGAGCCAATCAGGTGTGCTGCATGCAGACGTGTTGCCAAGGAACACACTGATTGGTGGAGGGAGCAGAGTGATAACCTCATCAGTCGGCTGCTGATCTTTCACTGTCCAGTCAGAAGGCTGGAGGTGGAGAGAGGACACCACTGTATTACTTAAAGTAGAACTATGAGGTGAGTGAAAATCACTCATCCTCATAGTTCGAGCCGACGTGTGACAATGAAACTGTCACACGTTGGCTCAAGAGCTCGCTCACTTCTCGATCATGTCCCGGCAGAGAGCCGTGACTATCACTCACGTCTCCCTGCAGGGATTCCCCCTCCCCGATCCTCCAGCGCTGACTGGCGGAACGGACGGGGCGGGTACAGCTGGCTCTGCCTCAATCACGCAGCTGGGTGGATCTCGACAGTAATGTAATGTAATGAGCTTTGGGTCACGGGAGGAGGTTAGTATATGTTCTCCCGCGACCCTTAAGAGAACTATGGGGAAAAACACTTACCCCATAGTTCTCCTTTAAGTGGTGTCTTCCACCTTGCTGTGCTGTATGCCAGAGCTGTGTAAACCTCGGAACTGTTAGGAGAGAAATACAAAACCTTTGGAAGATAAAAGAGCTCCCTTATGTGTAGGGAATTCAGCATTCTCCTGGAGCTCATTGGAGTCATTGTCCACGTTATAGTTCATGTTTCATCTTACACCCATATTTAGGGAGTAACATGAGGCATGGTCGCACACACCACCCGCTTTCCTTACTTGGATCATGGGGTAAGTAGACCCTTATCTGTAGCAGGTACAAGGTGTGGCATGTCATCCATCTTTGAGGATGTGGAAGTAGACCCTTATCTGTAGCAGGTACAAGGTGTAGGGTTTCATCCATCTTTGAGGATGTGGAAGTAGACTAGGGGTAGGCAACCTTGGCACTCCAGCTGTGGTAGTGCAAGTCCCATGAAGCATTACAAGACAAGCAGCCACATGCATGACTCCCAGAGGAAGAATTATGACAGGATTTGTAGTTTCAGCACAGCTGGAGTCCTGAGGTTGCCTAACACTGAAGCAGACACTTAACTGTAGCAGGTAGAAGGCATAGCAATCATCCATGGTGTGAATATAAAGGGGTGTCTCTAGCATAATCGTTGCCTGAGGTAGGGGGTATGGTGGGTGTTGTTGGTGGCAGGGTGATGCTGGTGGTCATGTTTGGGGGGGGCAGTTTGATGGGGTCCTGGTGGTGCACCTCCCAGCTCTCCCCAGAATCCTGCCCTGCTCATTGACATCACTGGTTGCCACCAGCTGGATGGGATGCCGGCCAGAGCATCCCACTCAGCACCTGGCAGCCAGTGACGTCACCAGTTACCATTCGCTTGGTGGGATGCCAGCCAGAGTGTCCCAGGTTGCTAAGAGCTGGGAGGAGAGATGTGTATGGCTCTTACACATATATTCAGCCAGCTCTTAGCAACCTGGGCTGGACCCAATCAGATACCACTTGAGGCAACAGCCCCAGGCCGCCTCATTATAGGGATGGCCCTGGAAGTAGACCCTTATCTGCAGATGGTACAGAGTGCATCAATCCTAACTTTGGAGTGTGTAGATCCCCGCTTACCTGGAATGGGTAGAGCCATGTGAGCGGCATTGATATGGAAGGAGATTTGATGGATGAGACCAGCTCTCTGTGGTACTCTCAGGTCTTACGATCCATTGGGTGCCTACTACCGGTAGCACATTTCCACGTCAGTGGGTGCTTTCTAGTGAAGGTATACAACACAGGAGCAAAGGTTGGTCGTTGTTAAAACGTTTGTTGTAAAGAGTTTAACATAATTTGTTGAAAGAAGAACAATTCATGTCTCTACTGTTGAAGCGTCACATTTTCTGTCAATTATCACTTTCCACAACCACCAATCAGAATCTCCCTTACACGGCTCCACTGGGTTAATAGAGAAGCCTATTGGCTGCCATGGGCGATCACTGCACTCCTTTGGACACGTTTCAAGGTAAAGGCATTCCTAATCTTAGCTGTCCATGTGACACTTTTGGGATCAGCTTGAGAGAAAAATGAAATAGGCTGAAATGAAGACACTAATAAATAACTCGCTGAGCTGCCTGGAAATCTGGCAGAACCTCTGAACATCGCTTCCCATTAAAGCAATTACAGTCACCAGGCCCTTGTTTAGTATGCAAATTCTTCAAGGCAATTAAAGGCTAAAGAGCAGTGAGACAGAAGGTGAGGCTTCTATGCCGGCGATAATCATATGGTATCATGCAACACATGTCTGGAACCAACAAAATCCTCCAGGGCGAATTCAAAGGGACGCTATTACCCCAAAAAGGATCTTCATATATAGATATTTATGTAACATTACTGCGGCTTTCCTATATCGGTGGTAATTGTTCACGTAATGAAACGTCTTTTCATTTATTACACTGTGAAGAATTTACTGAGACAACTCATAACATCCCATTAAACTCATACATACAAAAGACAAGGAATGAAAGCTTAAATTTGACTGGCTGGGATGAATTGAGAGTTCCCAGCGTTAGAAATAAGGCCAGTAAATCCCAATATGATCTTTGAGTCAATGTGATGACTTCAGTCACATGACTAATAAAGACCGCTCGCTGCTGCTCTTTCTCCTTGTGCAGGGGGACTGGTCTGGTCTCCGCCCCCTCCTGTAATAAAGACCGGTCACTACTGTTCTCTCTCCTTGTGCAGGGAGACTGATCTGGTCTCCACCTCCTCCTGTAATAAAGACTGCTCTCTCTCTCCTTGTGCAGGGAGACTGGTCTGGTCTCCGCCTCTTCCTTTAATAAAGACCGCTCACTGCTGCTCTCTCTCCGCCCCCTCCTGTAGTTTTCCGCAGGCAGCCTGTAGTGGGTGGAGCACCCGGGCCCCTCCCACATCTCTGGTCTTTGCACAGGCCATGCACAGCACAGTAATGATGTCACTGCTACTTTTATAGGGCAGTGGCTGGGTTTGCTTAGGCATTTGGTGCACACAAAGGGGATTTGTATCATTTGTGGCTATTAGGATTTTGAATTCATTGAAAGTATTTGTAGAATATATAAAGAAACACTTTGCTGGGCGATGTGTATTTGTCTGATCTAAATTCATTATTGAAAAACAAGTTTGAAAGTTTATTACGGCTTTAGATTCACAGATCTGTTTATATAACATGGTATGAGAAATATGGTACAACGAGCATATAACATGTTACATATACAAAATGACTTCATGTGATCATTACAATATGGACTGAAAACACGCAGCGGCTGAAGATACAATCTGCCTGTCATGGATGAGAGAGATCAAACAGGAAAGGTCAGAGGTCTCTTCCAGACACACACACAGCTAAAACAAACACGAGGTCTGGAGGATTCTCAGAACTGAAACCATTTATGTGTCTGACCACTTTTATGTTTCCTTTGTACAGCAGGATAGCAAATTGTACACGCAAAGTCCACGGGGCTGTTTAACCTCCCTGGCGGTCTGATTATTTCCTTTTTTTGTTCTATTTTTTTTTTCTTTTTTAGTTATTTTTACTTTTAAAATTCCCGCCGGCTCTGCCCCCTTGCGACGCGTACGCTTGGCATCGGACGGAAGCCGGCATCGGCCGGAGGACACAGCGCGGCTCGAGGGACAAGGTAAGTAACGCTACGCTGTAATCCCGAGTGTGGCTCGGGGGTTACTGCTTATGGTACTGAAAATGAACCCCCAAGCCACACTCGGGATTACCGCCATGGAGGTTAAAAGCAATGACCGGCCCGCTTCGATTTGTGTCCGGCCGGCTGGTCTACAGAGGCACAAAAAAAGGCACATTCCAGGCAAAACAAAAATAAATCCTATGTATAAAACCAGAAAATGTTTTTATATACATCTATGTCATTAATAAATAACACACTTCAACAATAAAGGGTCTTTGAACAATGAAGGGCCATTGATGGAGCCGTCACTGAACCTCTTGAGGGCCGACCAATGCATATCAATGGTACAAATGATGAAAAAAAGAGGTTATTAAATACCAGCAAAAGAAAGATGTATCAGTGTCATAACAATGATATCACGTTGATTTGGTTACAGTGTCGCATGTCGGGTTGTCACCTTTTCTTTAGAGGAGAATTAGGAGGCGAGTGATTTTCACTCAGCCTCATAATCTGAGCCGACCTGTGACAATGAGACTGTCACAGGTCGGCTCAGTAGATCGGGAAGTGAGCGAACACATACCATCGCTCGCTCACTTCTCGATTCTCTCCCTGCAGAGAGCCGTGACTGTCACTCACGGCTCCCTGCAGGGATTCCCCAGCTCCCCTGTCCGATCCTCCAG